TGCGATGCAAAGGAAACATAGGGAGAATAGTAAGAGGCCAATATAGCACCCCCAGGAGCTCTTTGATGGCCTGAAAAGCAAAAAGAAATCCTACAAAAGGTGGAAACATGGGCAAATTGCTAAGGAGGAGTACCAAAGTATAGCAGAAGCATATAGGGAAAAAATCAGAAAGGCTAAGGTACAAAATGAATTACACCTAGCCAAGAACATAAAAGGCGATAAGAGGTTCTTTAAATACATTAGGAGCAAGAGAAAGACAAAGCATAGGTCCTTTACTTAGTGGGGAAGAACTATAACAGATAACTTTAGGAAGGCTGCAGCGTTTAATGCCTATTTTGATCCAGTCTTCACTAAAAAGGTTAATTGTCCCGAGTACCTGGTCACAATAAAAGATGACAAGGGGAGAATGCAAGCCAAACTAGGGAAAGAACACATTACAGACTATTTAGAATACTTAAGGAACTAGCCCTGCCTAGACTCTTTAGGCTGGGATGAGGTGCTCAGCCCACATCTTGAGAGAGAAGATGAGGGAAGCATGGAAGATTGACTGCTGGACAAGGAGACAATCAAAACAAGTCAGGATACAGGCTTCCCTCAGCCATGCAGGGACTATCAGGACAACCCTGGCTTTGTCTTGCCTGATCGTGTTCCTCACTTTTAGAATCAGAGCTATTGGGGGGAACGTGTAATATAGGCCCTTCGTCCAAGGAAGGAGAAACGCATCTTCCAAAGACTGAAGGCCTAGGCCCCCTGGAACAGAACAGATGACACTTCCCATTTGGGCTGAGTCAAACATATCCACCTCTGGCCATTCCCACATTCAAATGAGTCGTCTAGGGTCTGGGGGGTGGGGTCCAGCTCCCATTCTCTGTCCTGGGAGAAGCATCTGCTGTGAACATCGGTGTGGTGGTGTGTGCTCCAGGAATGCACATTGCTGAAACGTGAATACGATGACCTGTGCACCCATTCCATAACTGTATTGCTTCAGCAGCCAGAGGGGGATCCCGTGCCACCCTGCCAGTTGATGTGAAACATACATGCCACATTGGCAAGATCTTGCCAGACTTCCCTCTGGTGAGAGGGAGAAAGTAGAGACAGGCATTTCTGACTGCAGGTTGATGTGGAGACTGATCCCTTGAGGCGATGGATGTTATGGGTTTGGTTAAATGTGTTTAAAAGCAGGGGGTGTAACCAGCACCCTTCATTAAAGATAGCTGAGACAGCAGGCGAATAGCATTTACTGGACTAGCTTCTGGTGGTGGACGGGACAAGCTTTCAAGCTTCACAGCACTCTTCCTCAGGTCTGGAGAAAGACAGGCCTGAGAAGAGCTCTGTGCGGCTCAAAAGCATGTCCCTTCCACCAAAAGTTGGTCCAATTAAAGGTATTACCTCACCCACCTTCTCTCTCTCTCAGCCTGGGACCAACCCTTTAAGATAGTTGTAAAAAGCATTAAACTCCTTTATGTAACCCAGGATCTGAACCAACAGGCAGAGGAAATTTCACAGGCTATTGTTTGGTGAAGGTTTGTGTCTCTGTGATAGAAACAGCAAGAAAGCCCAGAGAAGCTGAGAGAAGGCAGAAAAGAAGCACGGGCAGCACGGCCATGTAAGAGCAAGAGCTTTTGGGCCAAGTGCTAGTGAAAAGAGGCTTTGAACTGTGAGCAAAGAAACTAACACCCGATTGATTCCTCCTGTATTAGGGAAACAGGACATTGTAAACAAACACCTGACGCCATCATCAATCTCTCCTGGTCATCGGAAACGACCTGCAGCGCACAGAACGGGCTAACCACTTGGGTCAACACAGGAGGAGGGAGCCTGCTGTCACCAGCGGGGAAGTGCTCGCTGGCAGATAGGCACCACCGCGGGTCGAGTCAGCTACTGGTCCCTCAGTGAAGCATTTCCAAGAGTTTTAAGTGATTTTAATTTGTTTGTTTTTAAATGTAACTGCGACTTGGAAGCCCAGGGCTTTTAGGTGTAACTAAGGACAAGGAGTTCTTGGGAAAGAGCAATTTGCAACCGTGTTTCAAAGTTTTTATTGGGGAATTTCCTTAAAAAAAACAAAACACATTTGCCAAGAAAACCAGTGCTGCTCTCAGCAGATAGCAAGTCATTTCCTGTATGGAGAGGGGCTCCGCCTCCCCCGCACACAGCAGGTCCCCATGTGCCCAGGCAGCTCTCCGAGCCACTTCATCACCGCCTGGAGTGGGGCTGGGACCCACCCACTGTGCCTATTTCTCCTAAGGAATAGAGGGTTTGATCTCCAGCAAACAGAGGGGAGAGACGCAGCTCCCACCATCAGAGTGCCCTGTAGTGGGAGGGCAGCGGTTGCTGGGGCTTGTCAGCACATAGGAACAGTCCTTTTAGCCAGTGGTTCCAAGTAGGAGCCCGGTAACACCCTGAGAGCGCACATACTGGAGCAGTGGCTCGCAGAATATGCTTGTGGCTCATTCCAAGTGTCCGGACTCCAACTAGGAAAGGGACAAAAGCAGCCCACTCCAGCTGGCAGTGCAAAACTGATTGAATTGACCCCTCCCACCCCCTTAAACACCCCCAACAAGCCCCAGCCCCCTGCTGTCGCACCAGCCTGCAGCACGTGCAGCCCAAACATGCCGGGGAGGAAAGCAACACTAGAATGGCTCCAGCTATTGCTAAAGTGCTGCAACAAACCCTGGCCTTCGCACACAACCCCCCGCCCCCCATAGGTCACAGCTTGGCAGAGCAGATGCCACGGCAGGCAAGTGGCTCCTGCTAGGAGCCATTAAAGGGGCACCAAGAACATGGCTGACAAGCCCCAAAGCCTGCACCAGCTCAACAGGAGTTAAACACCATTGTTCACAGCCTGTGTTTCCTTGGTGTACCTGACAGCACTTTGGTCGAGCCGGGTCTGCGCATCCCCCTGCACGTGGGGCTGCCACAGCAATGGGGCATGGACAACCAGCTTCTAAATGTAGGAAAATGCAACGGTAAAACCACAGACTTCAGCAGTTGTGGAGGGAGGGGATGCACTGAGGGCAGGAGGGATTAAAGAGCAAGTGAATGTGGGGAGCATAAAGGCTGGTGGGAGGCAGAGGGGGCATTGCACGGAGCGCAGAATGAAGGCACCCTGCACAGGCCCTGGAATTGCTTTTCGAACTCATTTGCTGATCCTGACTAGCACTGCAGCTGATGGAGGCCTAGCCTGTGCAACCCCAGCTCCAGCACCTGGCAGCACATTGAGAGGGGCTGGAGCAAATCAGATAGCGAGGTGGGTGTTACAGCTGAGTATTCACAAGGGCACTGATTCAGAGCAAACCCTGGTATGCAGCTGGAGTCCCTCCCAGCAGGAGGCTGCAGGGCACGGGTTAGAGTCCCTTTTCTAGGGCCTCAGCAGGAGCGTGCCTGCAGTTTCCAGCACAGGGGTGAGTCCCCCCCTTCAGCCAGGCAGTACTAGCACCCGGGCATCCCCATTGTCCAGATGGAGCCGGTCCAGCAGCTGAGGTTATTGGAGGGGGTTCCCAGGGAGAAACACTTTCTCTGCCTGGGTGCCAGTGTGCAAGACTCTTCTCTGCCCCAGGGATAGGAGAGTATCTGCCCAGCCAGTCTCCCTGTGGTTTCGGGCTGGAGCAGGCTCCTGTGCTGAGGGTCAGCCAGCCGCTGTGTTCTCCCTCCACAACCCCAGGGAAACCAGTCCCCCATACCCCTCTGGCGATCAAGCTGCTACCCCTTTTCCGTAGAGTGGCCAACGCTCCCTGCTGGTTGGACGGGCTAAGCACCCAAGAGCCCCACATGCAGCTCAGACAAGCTGGCTGGGAGCACCCAAAACCAAGTTGCAGATGAGCTGCTCGAGATTGGCTCAGATGGAAGAAGCAGGGATCCTGCCGTTTGGGATGGGCCCCACCCAATGCCCAGAGCTTGGGCAGTGTGGGAGCCAGGCCCCACCCAGGATTCCTGGGGAGCACGGGTGCAGCAGGGAGACGAACGTGACTGGCAGATGGATGCCCAGGGGAGGACTCTCACTGTTCACAGCAGACGCCTGATCCAGGCCTGTGGAAGGGCAGAATTTAGAGGAGCCACCCTGGCCCAGGAGAGACGAGTACCTTTCACTCCTCTGCATGCCCACGGCTCAGCTGGCAGCCTAGAACCTAGTGGCTTGGCTGGGCTGATCCTAGGCTCCTGGGCAGACATGGCAAACCCATGAAAAAAACGTAGAAGTTGGGCTTGGTTTTGGCTTAATTGGCTCGTGATTTGCTTGTTGGCTAGTTTTTGTCTTGTAGCAGCTTGGTGCTTCTTTACGGTGATTGGCTCCTGGCAAGCAGGGGAGAGAGTCGGGGTGCACAGCCTCAGACTGCACGCCGGGGGATCTAGTCACACAGAGTGTTGGGGTTCTTAGGGACTGGCTTTTTTGGCCGAGTTTTGAAATGGGATTCGCTTGATTTTTGGCTTATTGTGAGTCGGGGAGCTTATTTACCGCGTGAAAGTTGGCAATTGTGCTCCTGGGCAGAGCAGCACAGGTCTCCCTGAGCAGGTTTGTGTCCCAGGCTGCTAGGCAGAGACGGCGGGAGAAGGAGGAGGCAGCGGGCAGTGTGTTGTGCTCACTGTATTCACCTCTGCACAGCAGCAACAGACATGACAGAACGTACATTAAACAAAAAGGTTAAAAATTCTTTAAATATTCCCACCCTCAGTGCAATGCAAGCAAATGATACCACAGGTCTGACCGGGGAGCAGCCAGCCCAGTGCACGGGGAAGAGTCCCGCTATCGCTAGGACCAAGTGTGCACTGTACAAGACGCGAGCAAATGGATGGACCCGAGAGCATGGCCAAGGGCTGAAGCAGCCACATAGGGCCATGGAAGGCTCCAGCTGGGACCGAGCCCCTCTCCTTTGATTCCCCTGAAGGCACAAGATTTCCAGATGCTGCCGACTGCTGAATGGAAGAGATTCCCCTGGAGAAAGTGTGAGGTGCACGTAGCCTTTGGCACAGGGCCCTGGGGGTCAGCAGCCAGCTGGGCCCAGCCTGGAGGTGGTGTGCCTGAGTGGGGCCGTTCCACTGAAAGCAGCTCAGTACCTCCGAGCAGGGCAGAGCTGCAGCCCCACAGCTGGACACAGGCAGCAGGCTCGGCCCCACTGCCACATTCCTATGGAGGCTGCACAAAGCCAAAGCTATGAGGGTAACAGACACGTTGGGCACCGATGGCCTGTGGCAGCCAGCGCAGTGAGCCGGACTCCTGCTGCAGCTCCTCCAGGGGACTACCCAAGCTGTCCGCGATGGCTCTTAGCAGCAGCCAGGGCAGCTGGTCAGTTACCCCACACCACATGCAGAATCCAGAAGCCAGCCTGGCTTGCAGCTCTATTTGGGAAAGGCCACATCCCGCCTCGCTGCAGAGAGCGGCGGATGCTGAACTGCAGCCCCAAACCGCCGGGGTGATCCTGGCTGCCAGCAGAGGGGCCAGAGGCAGTGAGTGCCAGGGTGGGCAAGGAGGAAAGGTGCCCAGCAGGGCAAAGGGGGTGAGGTGAAGCATTGACTGGTCCCACAGCTGGGCTTTTTAGTGGTAAATGCTTTGGCATGGTGCTTTCCTGTGCCCAAAGGGCTGCGGGAATGTGTGCACAATGGACCTCCCTTCTAGCCTGTGCTGTAGAAGACAGCAGCTGCACGCCCCCAGGAGGACAAGCTGCCTCGGGAGCAGTCCCAGAGGGTCCTAGGGAAGATGCTTTAGACACGTTAAGGCGCCAGAAGTGGCCAAGGGGCCCCTGACCAAGACTTCCAGGGCAGAGCAGGCACAGCAGCTCCCCCTCTGTGCCAAGAGTCCATGGGAGGGGGAGGAGTAATGCAGAAGGACCCCCTCCCCCAAGAAATTACAAACCTATGCATGATATATACATACATACAGACCTATATAAATATATCAAACCTGGGGCTTGCGAGACTGGCCAGCTACTGGAATGTGTCACTGGACCTGCTCTGCCAGCTCCCGCCCTGGCAGCCCCACCATGCGCTGGGGGATCCCTCCCTTCCCGGTGGAGGGGAGCAGCGGGGCTGAGAAGGGGAGCAGCAGCGGCAGAAGAGCAATCCCAAGCAGCAGATTCGGAAGCATCCAGGTCTTCCCAGCCATGTGCTTTCCCCAAGCACAGCGAGGCCCTGCTGCAGTGTTCCCTGGTGCGGGGCTTGCTGCTCACAGCCCAGAGCATCTTTCTGGGGCTGTACATCGAGTGTCTCAACATAGAAATGTGCAAAACTGTAAACAAATCCCATTTGGCAGGGCAGCTGCTACCTTGTCCATCAGGCTGGGTGCTGCAGGGCTGGGTGCCTGGGAGAGGCAAGAGGGTCCAGGCCCGGAGAACAGGCTGGGCTCTACAGCCGGCTGGGCTCTTCCTCACTGTCGCTGCAGTTTCCACAACAGTCCTGAAGTCAGAAGGGCAACAAGAGGGAGGAGAGGGAGAGAGGAGCACAGCAAGCAGAGGGTGAGCATGGTACAAAACAACACCCCCCAGCTGCCCTGAGCAGGGCGGGAACCCCGCCTGCGAGAGAAGGGACTCAGAGCCAGGGGAAGAGAGCCAACCCCCTCGGGAGGGGAACAGACAAGGGAGTCCTTCCAGCAGGGCCTTCTCCCAGGGGACATGCCCTTGAGTGGAGGAACAATCCTATACTGGCCAGCTCAGCGGCTTGAGGTGGGACCTCACGGGCCTTGCCCAGACTGAAAACCATCGAGGTGCAGAAGACAAACAGCAGCCAGCTCATGTCTGACCCAATGTCTGCACCCCACACAGCACAGTGCCCCGCCCCTGGATCACTGGGGCCCACAAGCAGCCGGCTCCCTCAGCAGGGAGAGGGCAGGGATCTGGGCAAGGTAGCTCTCGGAGCCCATCGCAATCAATCCTTGTGCCCTCAGTACATACAGACTTATACAAATATACCAAACCCTACAGGCGAGACTCAGAGCCCAGGATGTTGGTCAAGGGTCAGCAGGAGCCTTTGGCTTCCTGGAGCCCCTCTCTGGGAGCAGGGCCCACAGCAGTGGTAATGCAGGGAAGCTCTGACTGAGCGGACAGCAGTGGCAAAGCCCCTCTCACACGGAGGTGAGGCAGCGAGAGTGCAGGGAAGCAGGGTTAGTGGTTCACGGGGTGATTCACACACACAAGCAGCATCTGCTCTGCTGGGGTGGGAAGGGTGGGGGTTAGGCACTGAAGGACAAGACTCCTCTTCCCCAGGTCTTGCCATGTCCGCAGGTGAGTCTAGGCCACCAGGTATTTCCCTGAGCAGAGCAGCCGGAAGAGGGGCTGCTCACCTCTGGAAAGAGAAAAGATGTGGCATGAGAGGCCCGTGAGTCACAACTGGGCAGGGCCCCATGTTTGCTGCAGCTCCCGCCCCCCTGCCAGGGACAGGGAGCTGCAGGCACTCCCAGGCCCCAGAGCTGGCTCAGAGCACTCCTGTGCCAGGACAGTGGGGTAAGTGGCTCTGGCCGGAGGCTCTCATGGAACAGCACCAAAGAGGGACAGCCATGCTGAGAGCCTACGAGGGGAAAGCAGGAACCAGCAGAGGAGGGAGTTGGGCCAGGCTGCTCTGACGTGCACTTGTGTTCAGGTCACACAGCTGCTAGGCAGGAGCTCAGTGACAGCAGCATGGGCTATGCCCGTCCCTGGATACAAACCGAGGCTACTCCATGCCAGAGAACATGCATAGAGGCATGAGTCTGCAGTGGTTCTGCCCCCACTGTCACCTGCGAGCTGTGCGCCAAGCAGCATCTCTTCCTGCTCCAGGCTAAGCCATGCTGGGAGCCCCATGAACGCTGGGGACTCGGCCTGGCAGGATGACACTCAGGAGTCTGCGCACTGAGTCCTTCTTCCTGGGATGGGGGCACACACCTCAGCTTCCCCCCCACCCCTCCCAAACTACACAGATAGATCTGACCCAGCCACTTCTTCCTCCCCTCCCCCTCCCCAAGCCAGCTGCTTCAGTCCCTGGGCACCTCCGTCAATGACGCTCCCTTCGCAGCTTTCATGGCAGCCCCTCCAACCCATTCAAGATCAGCTCCCTGACCTGGGGCTTTGACTGTGCCACCCCCTGGCCCTGCACAACACCCACTTCAAGTTTCTTGTCCTCACCCATCCAGGCCCTGCCTACCTCTGCTCCTCCATGTCCATCTGGCCTTCTCTCGCGTCATCCCCCTTGTCAGGTTTGCTACCTTGCCCCCTTCCACTTGCTCCTCTCCACCTTCTCCACTGCCCCCTTCTGCATGGGACACCCTCCCTGAGCTGGTCTGCAAGGCCCCCCCCCGCCCCCCACTCCTGCTGCAATGCCAACACAGGCAGGAGAGGGGATTGAGCATTCCAGTGCAGTTAGAAACACCCTAGGTCTGCAGGGTGCCATGCCCCAGCCCACCACCCCCCAGCGTGTGTTCCAGACCAGACTGAGCTCTTCAGGGCAGCGTCCTTGTCTCCCTGGCAGCACCCAGCACAATGGGGCCCATGCGCAGCCTTTGGGCACTAGTGCCACATGCAGGGTAAGAGCTAACAAAGGGGGTGGTGGAGAGGGAGTTTGTCATCCTCCAGCACAGCATAGGTAGCATCCTGCAGACAGGCTGGAGCTGCACAGGGAGGGCGTGTGCACCAGCAGCAGGAGCCCGACAATCGCCCACCCTCTGGAGGGATGCAGGTTCTTGTTGATCTACTCAGAGCAGAGATGCATGCAGGGGCCTGAGTCCTGCTGCTCCAGTTCCCCCCCACACCCTTTCAGATCAGAAGGGGTGTGTCCAAGAGCCTGGAGAGGCCCTGCAGGAAGCCCGAGAGGAGCCAGGCTTGGGGAAAAGCCTGCGTTTATTCCAGTTCCCAATAAAGGCAAAGCCCAGGAAGTGGCAGTCGATAGCTCGTGTAGACTCCCTAGAGAGCACGGGAAAGCCACAGGCTCTCACTAGCATCCAGGGCTGGGTTGGGCAAACTATGGCCTGGGGGCCACATCTGGCCCTTGAGCTCCTGCTGGGGAACGGGGTGCGTGACTTTCCCCGCGCTGTGTGTGCTATGGCTCCAGATGGCTCCCAGAAGCAGCGGCATGTCCCTCCTCCGGCTCCTATGGGTAGGGGCAGCCAGGCGGCTTCGCACGCTGCCCCCGGCCCAAGCGCCACCCCCGCAGCTCCCTTTGGCTGGGAACCACGGCCAATGGGAGCTGCAGGGGCAGCGCCTGAGGACAGGGCAGCACGCTGAGCCGCCTGGCTGCGCATCTGCATAGGCGCTGGAGGGGGGACATGCCGCTGCTTCCAGGAGCTGCTTGAGGTAAACGCAGCCTAGAGCCTGTGCACCTGACCTCCACCCCAACCCCCTGCCCCAGCTGTGATCCCTCTCCCGCCCTCCGAACTCCTTGGTCCAAGGCCAGAGCACACCCTGCACCCCCAACCCCTCATCCCTTGCCCCACCCCAGAGCCCTCACCCCCCCTCCCCGCAACCCCAACCCCCTCCCGCACCCTGAACTCATTTCTGGCCACACCCCAGAGCCTGCACCTCCAGCTGGAGCCCTCACCCCAACCCCCAATTTTGTGAGCATTCATGGCCCACCATATAATTTCCATACCCAGATGTGGCCCTCGGGCCAAAAAGTTTGCCCACCCCTGATCCAGGGGTTCGAGTGGTTGTGTCCGCACGAGCAGATCTGAACTAGGGCTCACATGAGCTGAACTGCCCCAACCTAGGACCTAGGGCTTGGAGATTACTTGGCAACAGTGCAGCTGGCATTCCCTTTTCAGCCGTCAGAGGGCTAGGTGCACAGGATCGTGCGAGGACTGGAGGTACAGAGCCACCTCTTGCAGAGGGAAGCGACAAGTCTCTACGATACAGACACGTATTGTTCTCGGACCAAGGAGTGTGGATCAAGTGGGAAACATGGGAAGAATGGGGCTCAGGAGAAGAAATGGGGCTGGACCCCTGCCAGACCAGTTCACCATTTCCTGGGAGCTCCCCTAGCGAGATGCAAGCCCAATCAGCCCAGCACGAGCCGACATGATCAGGAAGTCTGCAGGAGTAAAATTCCCCCCCTCCCCATCAGGCCATGTGCGCTACAGGGATCAGGGCCGGGTCTAGGATTTTTGCCGCCCCAAGCAAAAACAATTTTGGCTGCCCCCCCCCCCGTTTTTTTCTTACCCCACCCCCGGCCCTGCCTCAACTCCGCCCCTTCCCCAAATCCCCAGCCCTGCCTCCTCCCCCCCAGGCTCTCAAGCCTAGGAGGGAGGAAGGGAGGGAGGGGGAGAAGCGGCGCGCGCGCCGCGGCCACTCGGAGTCTCCCCCTCCCTCCCAGGTTTGAGAGCCTGGGAGGGAGGGCGAGCCGTGGCGCGCGAATCAGCTGTTTTGCGCACCGTGGCGCGCGAGTGGCAGTAGCGGAGGTGAGCTAGGGCGGCCAGGGCACATTTTTAGGGGCAGCAGGGGCGGCATTCTGGCGCCGGCCATGCCGCCCCTAAAAATGTGCCGCCCCAAGCACCAGCTTGTTTTGCTGGTGCCTAGAGCCGGCCCTGACAGGGATGTCTGTGCAGGGCAGCAGCTGGCTTGGAGATGTCAGGGCTGGTAACTCCTGAGGGGGACAAAGCTCCATCAACTGCAGGCCTAAAAATCCAGGGAAAGGAGCGGGCGCTGCAGGCACCGCAGACACGGCAGAGGACTCCAGCCCGTAGGGACCGGGGCAGGGAGGCCAGAGGCCCTGCCAGGCTCTGAAGGCCCAGGAGAGGCTCTCGGCTGCCCTGGAAACCGGCCCACTCATGCTGGTGACCACGTGTGAGACAGTGCTCCTCTGGTGCCCCCTAGTGTCTGGCTCCTGCCATTGAGTCTGCTGGTGGGGGAGGGGGTGGGTGTGCTGGCAGCCGCAGTGCAGAGGGGAGGTGGGTGCCATTCCCGGAGGGCCCGCTCCCCACCAGGGGGTTTACCTGTCTGCTGAAGAGGCGCTGTAGCAAGCCCTTTTTGGGCTGTGGAGAAGGCTGTCCTTTCCAGTCCAGGTCAGGGGGCACTGCGCCATCCACGCTAAAGACATTCAGCTCCTTGAAACACTCGCTCTCAATCATCTAGGAGAGAAAGGAGATGACTGCAGCCTGAGACACTCACCCACCTGCCCCAGCAGACAGGATCCTGGGCGCTGGACCCCGCTGACTGGAACAGCCCAGAAAAGCCCCTATCCACCCCCCTCAAGGCTGATCACGCAGGGCACAAGATACTGCCAAGAACCCTTCACTCAGTCACTGCACGGAGGAACAGGGTCACTGGGCTCCGGGGCCCCTTCTCCAAGGCCCGGACCTAGTCAAGTGCTGTGCTATGGGAGGCAGCCCCCCCCTGCAGTGCAGAGCCCCCCCTACCTCATTCTGCCACGGGATGGGTACACTCCCTGTAGCGAACTTCTGGTAGAAGTCATTGTCTGTGGGCTCCAGCTCCACTCCCTTCACCGTGGAGAACTGCTCAATGTCCAGCACGTCCTTGCAGTAGATGGCCTGGGGCTGGGAAAGAAGCGGAGGCAGCTGTCACAAAGCAGCAGAGCCCAGTCCCATGGGCTCTGCCAGAACTCCCACCATTTGCCAGGCAGTTCCCTTCCCACCTATCCCGCTCATTCCAACAGCTTCCCTCACGTTGGGGAGGCCGGGGCAGCTGCTCCAGAAACACCCCAACCACCGTGGGGAGCAGGGGGACCACCCCGTTAGTAGGTAGCTACAGGGCCCCTGCTCACCCGGGATAAGAGCCTCACAAATGGGACAGAGAGGTAATGGGGAGCAGAGCTCCACACAGGGCCACGGCCTCTGATCTGCCCAGGAATGACACTTACGTCTGGTTTGAAGGGGGGGTCCAGCATGCCGGCTTCCAGCCTCTTGAAGTTCAGGTGTCTGAAGAGGGGATGCTCCTTCACTTCCTGGGCGCCAGCTCCTCGACACCCCAGCCGCTCCCCAGGGTCTTTGCACAGCAGCTGCAACACAGCGCAGCAGGGTGAGAACTGCAGGCAGAGGGCAGGACCCTTCGGCAGGGGCCTGGGGAGGAAGACACCTGGAACAGCAGCACTTAGCGGGCTAGGCTGGGCTTTTGAATGACCTCCCAGAGGGCAGGCTCTCCAGCCAAGCAGGTGCTAGGGTGAGTCAGTGCACCCTGCAGCCACCCCACAGGCCTTGTTTTTGGATGCCAGGGTGCAACTCCCCCACACCCCGCCAAGTTCAGGCAGCAGGCTGTGCCTGCAGCCTCATCCCCAGCCGACTCAGCTGGAACCAAAGGTACGTGAGCAGTGTTAGCTGAGCCTGACACTGCTGCTCTGCCATCTGCAGGGGCAAGGGGGGGGGGAACTCAGGCATAGGCAGAGTTAATTTTCCCCAGGGGTGCTCCACCCAAGGCCCCGCTCCCACCACCCCCACTCCGCCTCTTCCTGCACCTGCTCTGCCCCCTCCCCAAGGCCACTGCCCACTTGCTGCTCTCCGCCTTCCCCCAAACCCTTCTCCGAGCTGCCAAACTGCTGTGGCTAGTGGGTGCTGAGCACCCACTATTTTTTTCTGTGGGTGCTCCAGCCCTGGAAAACCCATGGAGTTGGCACCTATGGACTCAGGCATTGGTACCATGGAGCAGAGGGAGCGAGCGCCAGGCGAGAACTTCTCCGAGTACTCCTCCTGTACATCCTTCACCAGCCGCTCCACCTCCTCCCGCTTGATCTTCTTCTTCCTTTGCTGGAAGGGAGATTGGCCCTCGATCATCTCATAGACAAGACAGCCCAGAGCCCACCAGTCGGGACTGAACGTGTAGCGCTCGTTCTTCACTACTTCGGGAGCTGCAAGGGGGCGAGCAAACAAGTGGAACATGAGGCTGGAATGCAGCACAATGACCCATGAGGGCACCGGGCGAGACTAGGCTAGTCAGAGATGGGCTGGTAATGGCTCAGGCAGGAGAGCAGGGCGAGGTTCCTTTCAGGCTGCCAGCTTCTAGCCTCCTCCACCTCTTAGCAATTCCCCAGCTCTTCTCCCTGGAACTAGGGCTGCTGCACTCCCTGGCTTGAAGGGGTTTCCATCATATCCAGGGTTCAGTTTGGTTCAATGGCTCTCAGCACCCCCACTATACAAATTGTTCCAGCCACCCTGGGTAAGTCCTGGGGCCACAGCTAGGGAGCTGGCTGGCTCTGCGACACTGGCAGAGTCTGAGAATGAGCGGCGTGGTCAGGGTATGTGAGCACAGCCCCAGCCCTGCCTGTGTCTGGGAGGAATCTTGGAAAAGATGAAAAGCCACTATATGAAAAGCATGATTTTTGTGACCAGTCAAAAATGACAGGAGACCTGTCCAGCCCTGAGGCCATGCAACCACAAGTACCTGGGCATGGTTTTGCTATGGGACACCTGTGATGGGGTGTGCTCAGCATACTGGGCTGCATGCATGGGCGGCAGGTAGAATAGGCCAGGGGAGGCTCTGCCTCCCCCAGCACTGCTACCGGACATTGGTGGCGGGGTTTGGCGACAAAGTTTTTGCTTTATTATGCCCCATGCAGGGTCCGGGGCGGCTGAGGAGGCACATACCGCCTGCTTAGCCACCCCGGAACCTGCATGGGGCAGATCAAAAGCATCTTCTAACAGACACAGCGAATTGGGTCCAGGAAGGGGAGGCATGGCACGGTTTCAGCCAGCCCGGGGCTCCTCCAGCCGAGGCAGGGGAGAGCTCAGGGCTTTTCCGGGTGGGGGAGGGGCTCGTGACTCTGGCCACCGGTGTTGGGGGGAAGCAGGGGGTCTCGGGGCTCTGGCCATGGGGAGGGCGTGGGCAGAGCCGGGGTCTAGCCTCCCCAAAGGGGGGCTCCACCTGCCAGCCATGGCTGCGTGCCACTGCTCAACTGCTATGTTACAATCATCTTCAGTAGGTGGGACGCTGTATGGAATATTCTAATTGGGTTTGTTTAGTTTGGAAAAGAGAAGATTGAGAAGGGACATGATAGCAGTTTTCAGGTATCTAAAAGGGTGTCATAAGGAGGAGGGAGAAAACTTGTTCACCTTAGCCTCTAAGGACAGAACAAGAAGCAATGGGCTTAAACTGCAGCAAGGGAGGTTTAGGTTGGACATTAGGAAAAAGTTCCTAACTGTCAGGGTGGTTAAACACTGGAATAAACTGCCTAGGGAGGTTGTGGAATCTCCATCTCTGGAGATATTTAAAAGTAGGTTAGATAAATGTCTATCCGGGATGGTCTAAGACAGTATTTGGTCCTGCCATGGGGGTAGGGGACTGGACTCGATGACCTCTCGAGGTCCATTCCAGTCCTAGAATCTATGAATCTATGAATATGGGTGACCACTTATATTAGAAGATACCAATATTATAATATTGCAATGAATCTTGCCAGATAGCCATGTAAGGTCTCAGTGGAAAAGTTATGATTTGCTAAGTATGATAATCGTGTTTATATGTCTGTATCTTTGTATCACGAGTTATAAGTGTGTGTGATGTACATGCAACTCAAACCTGTGCTGTGTGTCTAGGTGACACCCCTAGATAACTTGGCATCAGCACTATCCAGCCTGTTGGATGGGCCATCAAGGGCAATCAGCTGTACAATGAATCCACTGAGAGAAGCCAGGGGCTACACCTATGAGTCAGCAGGACATGTAGAGACAAGGACGTGCCTATGGACAGGGGACTCCAAGCGCTTTTCCATGCCCATGTGCTGGGAGCTTGTGTCTGGGACAAAGAATGCACAAGCCACATGGCAAAGGATCTAAAAAGGCAGCTGCCTCTTCTCCATTTTGTCTTCAATCCTGCTTCTCACTACTGGACTCACTTCTCTACAAACTGAAGCTTTGAACAAAGGACTGACAGACCCATCCAAGCTTTGGGTGTGTTCCAGAGGGACTTTACAAGCCAGCAAACTCACTAAGAACCCGATATATGGACTCTGAAGTCATATGTATGTATCTGACCGCTTCAACCATTTAACAACTCTCTTCTCTTTCCTTTCTTTTATTATAAACCTTTAGTTTTAGATACTAAGGGATTGGCTGGCAGCGTGGTATTTTGGGTCAGATCCAAACTAGTATTGATCTGGGAATGTGGCTGGTCCTTTGGGGATCAGAAGAACATTTTGTACAGCAAATAGAGTTTTAAATAACTTCTCACTTTACTGGACCTATTTGCTGATTAAGAGCCAGAGACTGGAATGCAGTAAAGGGGGCTGTGTGATTTCTTTTTCTGGCTTCTTGATAACCAGTGTGGGGGATCAGGAGCAGAGTTTGTGACTGGTTGGTGAATCTACTGGTTTGGGGAGAATCTGCTCTCCTTGCAACCTGCGCTGACGTTGGCATTTTCAGCGTGGGCTACCCTAGGCACCTCGGGTCACAGGCGGGATGTAGAACCAGTGCCTACAGTGTTCTGCTCTAAGGTCTCCAGTCTAATTTTCAGTAAGCACGCACACCATTCCCTCACTTGAACCCTGCTGAGGATACCAGAGCTGTTAAGATCTGTCAGTAGACTCCTAGTTTTGGGCACCCCTGCTTCCGTCTCCTGTTTTCATTGGGAGTGTAGGGAAGCTGTGTGCGCGAAGCACCATGTTCCTATAATTACGCAATCCTCAAGGACTGCTAAGATTCTAAATCAGAGATTCCAAGGGTCTTCCAGGGCTCTGTCCATAGACACCTAGCTCAAAAGCACAGCCCCCAGTCCACCCCTAGACATGGAGCTCTGACTAGAATGCAGCCCAGGGTGATGAAGAGAGTGGCATTGTATAGGCCAGTGGTTCTCAACCAGTGGTACATGTACCCTGGGGGTACGCAGAGGTCTTCCAGGGGGTACATCAACTCATCTAGAGATTTGCCTAGTTTTACAACACGCTACATAAAAAGCAGTAGTGAAGTCAGTACAAACTAAAATTTCATACAATGACTTGTTTATACTGCTCTATACACTATACACTGAAGTGTAAGTAGAATGTTTACATTCCAGTTGATTTATTTTATAATGATATGGCAATGAGAAAGTCAGACATTTTTCAGCACTAGCGTGGCTGTGACACTTCTGTATTTCTATGTCTGATTTTGTAAGCAAGTAGTTTTTAAGTGAGATGTAACTTGGGGGTGGGCAAGACAAATCAGCCTCCTGAAAGGGGACAGTAGTCTGGAAAGGTTGAGAGCCACTGGTCTAGGCAGTCACTCTAGCCATCTCTCCATGGCCATAGGCAGGTTGTTGGAGGCCATACTCTAGGCAGGGTCTCTATGGTCAGGAAGGACATTGTGGGGGGCAGGGCAAACTTTGGAAGAGGGAGGTATTATGCAAATTGAACACATTTCAAATCAGGGACAAAGCTTCCAGATTTCCCGTCGCAGGAGATACTCACCCATGTAGCCAACTGTCCCCACCCGGCCTTTGATCGTCTGGCCCTCGGGCACGTGCACAGCCAGCCCCAGATCTGAGATACGAATGTGACCTGAATACGGGAATAACAGCATTAGGAGCTCAGGAGTCGACGGGCTAGGCCACGGCTGTTGGTGAGCACAAAGTAGCCCCGATTCACACAAGGAAATGAGAGAGGCACCCACAGTCCAGGCACAGGGCCAGAGCACCGCCACACACTCCTGGCTCCTCTCCCACCTGCGGCCCTCGACTCACCATGGTCATCCAGCAAGATGTTCTCTGGCTTCAAGTCCCTAGAGTGGGAGAGAGCAGATTCCATTAGACATGCCCTGGAGCAGCAAAACCCTCAGCTCAGCCTGGGACAGTCCTACAGGCGACATCCCACCAGGGCCCTGCCTGTTACTTCAGTCTGACTGTCTGTATAAGCTGTGACGTTATTGACATAAAGTGTAACTGTATAGATCATTGTTGCAACAACTGTTATATATTTGTGGCAAATATTGTACAAAGGTTGTTGTGTGAGGTGTTTATAAAAAGGTTATGATTTGCTGGTTAGGATTATGCTATCTAAATGCATGTATCATTTTGTATTTAAAGTTATAAGTATTGGCTCTATACTTTCTGTATTTCAAACTTCTGGGTGACACCCCATACAAGTTGGTGTTAGCTCTGCCTAGCCTGCTTGATGGCCCATTAAGGACCATCAGCTATACAACTGACCCATTGAGAGAAGGCAGATACACCTTGTGACTCAGCAAGGTATGCAGGGACATGCCTACAGACAGAACTCTAAGGTCTTTCCGTGCCATGTGCTGGGTAGCTTGTGGTTGGAACAAAAAAAGCACAAGCCACATGGCAAAAGGACTAGAAAAGGCAGCAGCATCATCTCCATTTTGTCTTCAATCCTGCTTCTGACCTCTGGAGGAACTTTGCTACAAACTGAAGCTCTGAACAAAGGACTGAATGACCCATCCCAGCTGTGGACGTACTCCAGAGACTTGATTTGAACCTGCAGTTTATTCCATCACTGCTACAAGCCTGAACCAAGATCTTTGCCATTACTGTATGTAATTGATTCCATTTAACCAATTTTAACTCATCTATATTTCTTTCTTTTATGAATAAACCTTTAGATTTTAGATTCTAAAGGATTGGCAACAGCGTGATTTGTGGATAAGATCTGACTTGTATATTGACCTGGGTCTGGGGCTTGGTCCTTTGGGATTGGGAGAACCTTTTTTCTTTTACTGGGGTCTTGGTTTTCAAAACCATTCGTCCCCATAACGAGTGGCACTGGTGGTGATACTGGGAAACTGGAGTGTCTAAGGGAATTGCTTGTGGGACTTATGGTTAGCCAGTGGGGTGAGACCGAAGTCCTCTCTCTTTGGCTGGTTCGGTGCCTTAATAGTAAGGGAACTCCAGTTTTGGGCTGTAACTGCCCTGAATTGATACTCTCAGTTGTGTCCCACCAGAAGCCAGCATCGTTACACAAGCCCAGTGCAAAGGGCCGATATTGCATCTTATGAGCAGATGGGCTGCAGCTCCCACCCCACAGGCAAGGAGCGCAGCCTTCCTACAGTCACATCCCCATCCCCAGGCAAGCCCAGCACAGCTCCTGTTCACCCTGTGGCTGACAGCTCAGACTCCAAGCCTCATGAAAAGAGGGGAAGTGAAAAGCCACTGGGCTGCTTCCCTCTTCTCTTGTAGAGAAGTCATCCAAACCTATCCAGAGCAGGCTTACAGCCAGGCTTTCCTCTAAGGCCTTCCCCACTCCCACTAACCTGGGCTCCAGGGTGACCCTCATGGAGGATGGGGAGGGGACTAGCTGGGAGAGGCAGAGCTCCCCAGAGCCCTCTTGCCTTTGCAGCTAGTTAAAGAACCAGCCCCGCTAAAGGACATATTGTGTCTAAACGTGAGCCTCTACTCCCACCACCATCATGGGGTACAAATCCCGAGCCCTGCCAGTGTAAGGGAGGCCCATACCCCTGCCTGGGAGCACAGAAAACGGTCACTCACCTGTACGCTATCCTCTCCCGGTGCAGGTCCCCCAGGCCGCAGCAAATCTCAGCTGCATAGAACACCGCCCGAGGCTCCTCAAAGCCAGCCTCACCCATGTGGTAGATGTGAAACTTGAGGTCCCCTCCATTCATGAGGGTCAGTACCAGGCAGAGGGCATCTTTAGTCTCGTATGCATAGGCTAAGCTCACCTGCAAGACAGGGCAGAAAAGCTGTTAGAAGACAACAGAGCTGCTGCAGATAGAGGCCTGGGCAGGCACCATGCCCACCCAGGCAGCCAGCCTTGGACACAGCTGCCTAGATGGCAAGGTTAGAGCTGTTTCATATCCCTATCTCCTATCAGACACATTGGGGATTATCTCTTGGGAGGGGGCTTTTGCACCCCACCTATTTTTCTGGCTTCACCTGCCTGGGCAGACACTGCAGAGAGGAAAACCATTCAAATCCAAGTCTCCCATGGGGCAGTAGCTTGTGGGCCCAGCCAGGCAGATCCCCAGCTCACAGGAGATTCCCTCTTCACTGCACACTGAAAGGGAACTGGCTGCATTGTCTGTGCAAGGAGCTGGGACGCCTCCAGGGAAGAACCAAAGCTGCTACCCAGCTGGGACAACAAGACAGCTGGACAGGAAGCAGCTGGGTGGAAGCATTTCATGCAGGGCCCTCACCCCAAAGTTCTACCTGATGGGAACTGTCACACTGCTCAGTGCCACAGGGCCAACATCTCCCTACAACTGGAAGCAGCAGCCCCCCACACCACGCATTGCCTGCTCCACTGAGCACAGGAACGTGTGCCACAATTGCTCAGTAGATCTCTGCCGCACACCCCCACCGAGCTGCAGCAGTTCAGAGGTGGGGCTGGCTGCAGCTTGCCTCCTGCATAGGCCAAGCTTTCCCTTATAGCTAAGAACACTTTAGCCCTTTGGGTTATGAAGAAAGCCTTAAAAAGAAGTGAGCGGAGTGTAACCAGACTGATGCTGTGACACCATCCAGCCTGTAGGGGAAGCTCCATCACTGTGCCCTGTTCAGCAAACAGCAAGCGCAGCCCTGCTGAATCCTGTTATCCTGCCCCACAGCAGGGGAGTGAAGATCAGCAGGTTCTGGGTTCTCTCAGGTTGCCAAGTTCCTAACCCTAACCCAGCCCTCGTCCCTCCCCCGTCCCACCCCTTCTCCGAGCCCCCTCCTCCCGCCCCTCCATAACTCAGTCTCCCCCACCCTCACTCACTTTCACCGGGCTGGGGCAGGGGGTTGGAGTACAGGAGGGGTGAGGGCTCCGGCTGGGGGTGCAGGGGCTGGGGCCAAGGATGAGGGTTTTGGGGTGCAGGAGGGGGCTCTGGGCAGGAGCTGAGAGGTTCGGAGTGCGGGAGTGGGCTCTGGCTGGGGCCGGGGGGGTTGTGACGAACTGGGAATGTTCTTAATGTGTTCTTTGAATACTATGTGCTTGCCTGTGATGCAGCAGGGAGAGGGGAGTATTGACCTGGGAAGGTTGCAGGGGAGTTTTGCTGGGACTGTCCATTGGGGATGGAAGCCAGGTGACACCTCTGCCCAGGGAAATGGACAAAGGCTGGGGGAGGAGCCAAGGGGAGGCTGAATGAACAGCTGGAGGGAGTTTCAGTTTGGAGCCGGCTGGGAAATGGAGGGAATCCCAGACTAGGCTCTGGCCTCCCTGGGGCCCCCCCAAGATGGACCCGACTGAGGGGGTCCTGTTGTCTGTACCTGCAAGACCTGTTTGGGACTGTGTTCCTGTCGTCTAAATAAACCTTCTGTTTTGCTGGCTGGCTGGGAGTCATGGTGAATCGCAGGAAGGGGGGTGCAGGGCCTGACTCCCCCACACTCCGTGACAGGGGGTTGGGGTGCAGGCTCCGGGAGGGAGTTTGGGTGCGGGAGGGGGTTCCGACCTGGGGCATGGGGTTGGGGTGCAGGAGAGGGTTCAGGCTCCAGCTGGGCGGCGGCGCTTACCTCAGGCAGCTCCCCGTCGGCAGCGCAGCGGGGCTAAGGCAGGCTCCCTGCCTGCCCTGGCTCCTCGCCACCCTTCGAAGCGGCCGACATTTCCGTCCCTTAGGCGCAGGGGGCTCTGTGCGCTGCCTCTGCCCCCACAGATCCCATTGGCCATGGTTCCTGGCCAATGGGAGCTGTGGAGCTGGCACTGGGGGTGGGGGCAGCACGTGAAGCTTCCTTGATCGTCCCCGAGCCTCAGGGCCAGACATGTCGCCACTTCCAGGAGCCATGCAGAGCCAGGGCAGGCAGGGAGCCTGCCTTAGTCCGACTGCACCACTGACCAGACTTTTAGCAGCCCGGGCACCGGTGCTGACCGCAGCCACCAGGGTCCCTTTTCAACCAGGCGTTCCGCGCGAAAACCGGACGCTTGGCAACCCTAGGGTTCCCCCGGGCAAGGCCTGCTCCCTCCCCAGAGCACTGCTGCCATGCCATCTCATGCCCAGCCAGGGTGATGGCACATTTACAGTCCAGCCATTCGGGAAATGCAGCACTAGGACCCACACAGGCTCCTTGTGCAGCCCCACTGCAGCGCAGAGCGTGGGCCGCAGGTGGGTCAGCTGCCTCTCAGCCCCTTGATGCAAAGTGAAAGCAGTTCCTATGTACTTACTACAAACCTACTGTTCACTTTTTCCAGGATCTGCTTCTCGTTCAGGGCCATGGACTCCCCCTTCCGCTTTTTGATCCGCTTCTTCTCCAGCTTCTTGCAGGCATACATCTTCCCAGTGGCTCGCACCTGGCATGCACACACCTGGAGGAAGCCAGCAGGTTCAGCATGCAGGCCAAACCCTGCCCCAGAACCCAGCTGGTGCAGGCCGAGGGATTAGACTCCACCCCTATCCAAACTGCTAATATTAGTGGCATGCACTTCTGGGTCTGCCAGCCAAGCAAGCCACCAGATCAACTCCTTTCCTGATGGGCTTACATGGTTCTCCCTTGCCTGCTGGTCTCTGATCATTGCCCCACTGTGGCCTGTGCATCTGACTCTTCTAGTTACCTACTTCTCCCAACTTTGAGCTGTCCCCCTGTGAGCACATGGCAGTGAAACCTGGACACCTGTCACCAAGTCGTGACAAGGCCTGCAGCCCATTGGCCACCATGGAGGGGATGCTTGAGGCAGTTACAGCCCGAGAAAGAGGTGTAACCCAACGGCGTAAGCAAGGGGCTGGGAGTCAGGAAGTCCTGTGTTCTAATCCTGGCTCTGCCACCGACTCAGGATAATCCCAGCTGTGTGCCTCAGTTTTCCCATCTGTAAGATGGGAGAGAAGGATATTGGCCCTCTGCCCAAGCAGTGGCAGGTGTGACAAGTGCTCCCCCAGCACTGCCTGTCCTGAACACACCCCATGCCAGCCCCTCCCTCCCCACCAGACGCAGCTCTAGTGTCCAACATGAGGTGCTCTCCCAGCTCCAGAAAAGGGGATCAAGAGCAAGAGCAGAGTGCACCCAGCAAGTGAGGCTTTCCTGGGGACTGGGTCAGAAAGCAAGGCCCAGTCCCATCCTCAGGGGCAGGTGGGGCCCTTTGGCAGGACAAAGCTTTGGCCCCTGAACCTCCTGCATACTCAAAGGCAGGAGAGCATGCAGGCCACTCACCTCACCAAAGCCTCCCTTTCCCAGCACGCGATACTGGCGGAAAGTGTTTTTAGTCACTGGCTGCCTGTGAACAAAGCAGAAGAGGCTGACTTGAGATGAGAGGGGGAGCAGTGAGGTACCAGGCTGCGTGGCACAAGTCCCCCACCCACCCTGGCGCAGCAGGCACACCTGGCCTGACCTAGCCGACAGAGTCAGGAACTCAGAGGGCTAACCCTGGGCTCTGCAGCCACAGGGAAAGCAGGGCCTATTGCTGCCTTCATTAAAGCCTGGAAAGGGCTCTGTGGGTGCTGAGGAGAACAGCACCCTGCGCTGATGGGAACAGCACCCTGCGCTGATGGGAACAGCACCCTGCGCTGATGGGAGGGATCAGAACATCTGCTCCCACTTGACTGGCTTCGGCCAGAAAGCAAGGAAGGGCTGCGGGTCCCCTTCGAGCAGCACCCCCCAGCCCTGAGCCTGCAGGGCTCTTGGGCTGCAGTGCCCCCCGAGAGAAGCAGGGACAGACTTACCTTTCCATCCATTTCCACTGCAGGAAGCGGTTGAAGTAGATGCTGTCAAGGTAATCGGCAAAGGGAGCCACGCTCAGATAGTCGTGGATGAGCCTGGGAGAGAGGGACAGCCAGTCAGTGATGGCAGGAGGATGCTGTAAATGCTTTCCAAAGGATCCAGCAGCTCGCCAGCCCAGACTTGGGCCTAAGACCCCTCTGATCTAAGCAGCAGCTGGCCTTCCCCACAGCTGCACCCAAGACGAATGAGACCCTTGCACCCTCCTAGCAGGGCAGCCAGGCATTGCCCCGAGCACCCATCACCACCCCAGGAGAGCCCTTTCCCACCGACTCCAGCCCTTTGGTCCTGACATTCAGTGATCTGCAGCCGCTGCAGGAAGAGGAAGCTGACCCTGGGAATGACATCGCCTGTGGGGAAAGCAGCTTATGGAGCTGGGCTGGCACTGCTCAGATCCAAGCATGGCCCCTGTGACCAGGCGCTGGCTGGGCTATGCACACGAGGAGGATGTGGTGCTGTCTGCCCCTTGGGAGAGCTTCCTTAGCAGCGGTGCCCCCTGCAGAAGGCCACGCCCAGACATCGTAATCAGCTGCTGAGGCACTGTTGCTGTGTGCAGGCACGGAGATCGGAGCAGGGTCCACAACAGGCCACCCGGGGACCAGTCTGAACCATTACCGGCTCCTGAGGCTGGTGCCAAGGCCAGGCTGCAGAGCGATGAGCCCTGCAGAAAGCGTCTGGACTGCAGACGCACATCAAGAGCAGCAGATGGGCTCTTCCCTTTCCAGGGGCTGCCAAGAGATGGCAGGGCCCAGGCTGGAGACTCCTTGTTCACACAACACCATTGGTTACGTTCCATAAAGGCAGCGGGCGCACCTGCTGCTAGGCCCAATATTTAGTCAGGCAACGTCTGGGCTGGAGAGCACGGGGGAGAAGGAGGATCGGCTTGCTTAACGGTTTCCTTTGCATACTTAGACGGTACAGAACTCCAGGCACCATCACTGTGGTTCCCCCGCAATCAAGCAGGCCTCAGGCCCTGCACGTCCCACCTCCTGGAGTCCCCTGGACTCACAGTTGCTACCATGTGTTCACAACAGCCACATCCAGATGCAGACAACATTAGGGCAGGTAGAGCATTTGACTCTTGGTCTGTCCCAGTCTCAGCCCAAAGAGACAGGCTGGAGAGCCCAGCGAGAGCCACAAGCAGGTCAGCAAGTCCAGGGCTGGCCATAGGAGATAGGACAGGATCCACTCAGGATGGTGACTCGAACACCAGGAAAGAGAGAGAACACATAAGAACAGATTCCTGCACCACCTTGTGGCCTTCAGGGACCCCTGAAATGCAGGAAACGCAGAAGCTGGCCTGCACTCACACTTCCTTCCCCCATCAGTGCTGGCTAGACTCAGCCTGCTCAGTGCAAATGCAAATCCCGTTAGCTATCAATGCTAGGGAGCAAGACTCAAATCCCAGGAGCAACCCAAATTGCTCCTTCAGGGGTATATGCTGATGGCCACACTGGACTCAGCCAATTACCTGTAATATCCATTCCCCTGGGAATATTTACACTATCCAATGTAACCTCGAGCCAGGCCCTGGGGCCCCTCCCCAACTTACTTGGTTGCTTCCTTGAAGAGCTCCTTGGATGGCTCCTGCTCCAGCCTCTCAGAACAAGCACTCACCAGTGGCAAGGGAACTTCGGGCACATGATCCACATTCTGGGAGAGGAGGGACTGAATCAGACACAGGGAGCTGAGCCCCAGGGGCCTCCATGGGCTGCCGCTAGGGGAACGGAATCCGCAGGAACCCAGCACAGGTCTTGGCCTGCCCCCAGGATATTTGTTACTGGGGTAGTGGAGGGACTCTTTGCTCCCCTCTGCCCTGCATTGGGGGTGGCTGGTGCTCTTTCCCGAGCACGCTGTGAGCGTCTGGGTGCTAATGCTTCCCAAGCGTCTCTCTTATACATGCCGGCACGGAGCCAGCAGCTCAGCAGCTGGAGCAGCCTGCTCGGGTCGCTTACCTTGGGGTTTAGGTAGCTGTCAATCAGGTGCTGCCCACACTCTTTCCGCTTCTCATCTGGAGTCACTTCATACTCTGCCTGTACAGAGAAAGCGAGGCTGGTAAGGACTGCCCCTGCTGGGCATGGAGACATGCAGGGAGTGCCACAGAACAGCATGAATTAGCTGCCTGCCATCAATAATACCCCTCTCCCCATTACTGGCACAATGGGGCTCCTGCAAACTGCCCCCCAACCTCAGGGCACAGCCCCAATCTTTACAGAACAGTAGGTAACAGACTCTTTCCCCAGGGAAATGCTGCAGCATAAAGCGGAGGGTCAAGAGTTCAGGTCTCCCCACACACTCAGCCCTACATTTAGCAACAGACTGAGGGCTCTAGGCCAACTGGGCCTTGGCCCCCGACTCTCCGAACATGGGTCACAGCGTCCTGGAGGAATTTCTCACACAGCTCTGTGCTTACCACAGCATCCAAGAACTTGACACAGCGTGACAGCTCAGGCCGCGTCTCGCAGAACAGCCGAAAGAGCAGGCGCCCAATCGGCTGCTTTTCACACAGGCTGCGATAGTCCCGCTCTGCAAATGCAAAGGAGGAAGTGAGCCGCTTGCTTCAAATGTAGGTATAAGCAAAGCCCATCATAGCCACAGCCAATGAGAATTCACAGACCAGGCCAGTAGGGGGCACTGCAACAATCTACTCTTATACAGGCCAAAGAATCGCGCCCCGTGATTCCTCTATGGAGCCCATAACTTGCAGCTGAACTAAAGTGTAGCATTTAGGAAAAGGCATCCCGTCCTGGTTAGAGACTCCACCTGACATGAGCCTAGGTAAAGCTGTTCCAACAAGCAAGTCCCTTCACTGTTAGAACTTTGTGCCTTATTTCCTCCATTAATCTAATCTGGATAGCTTCAATATCCAGCCATAGGATCTTGGTCTGCCTCTGTCTTCTACATTACAGAGCCCTCCTATCCAAAATCTTTTCCCCATGGAGATATTTACTGTCCATGGTCCAGTCACCACAGCTTTCTCTTTGATAAGTTCAATCTATTTAACTTCTTAACCCTTTCCCTGTACAGCAGGTTTTCCAGACCTCAAATCGCTCTTGTAGCTATTCTATAAACCTTTCATAATTTTTCAACATGCTTCTTAGAGTGCAGACACCAGAACTGGACTCTTCCCGTAACGGTCTCACTACTGCTGTATACAATGGTAATGTCACCTCTCCACATGTGCTTGATATTCCCCTGCTTGTACATCCAAGCATCACGTTAGCTCTCTTAACCAGCTGAACATTATTCCCAGTTTAATGCGATGGCTATCTACCATACTGCCTCCCCCACCCCAGCCAAGTCCTTTTCAGAGCCACTGCATTTCAGGATAAAATATAGTCTATGTTCTTTATTCCTAGATGTATGCCTTTGCATTTGACCATAACAAAACACATTTGTTCATGCCCCACTTACCAACCAATCCAGATCACTCAGTATCAGTGACCTGTCCTCATCTTTATTTACCACCCCAATCTTTGGGCCATCTGCAATTTTTTTCTTTATTTCTTTTTAAGTCTGCAATGCCTTTATATTTTCTTTCAGCTCATTGGTAAAAATACTGAGGGGTGGACTGAGAACCGATTCCTGCAAGACTCATTGCTTATTCCCCATTAATCAGTAATGTTTAAAGCCCTCACTCAGCCATCAGGGACCGGGACACCTGGCCATCCCAGCCTGCAGGGGGGCTCCATTTGCCCTTGGGGTCTATGCCTGCTCCAGGCAGAGCAGAAGGACCTCGCTCTGCTCACACTACGGGGTGAGCAGGGTGGCACTGGAAGGGTAGCACTGGGGGGAGGGGGGAGAATGCATCTCACTGTATTCAGCACATACCCCCTGCCCCTCCCCAGGACAGAAGTCCCCACATTGCTCCATAGGATGCCAGGGCCCCGCCCTCCTACATGGCAGGCATATTGTAGGCGTTCCCCTCCCCTATGCAGCAGTTTCTCCTGAGGAAGCTGCGGCTTCCTGAGTGGTGCAGAGCTCAGCGACAACAGCTCCAGCCCAGGGGAGGGGGTCACACTGCTGCCTCACTAGCTGCACTATTTCCTTCTCTGTGGGGAAATGAGCTCACTCCAATGAGGAAGGTGAAAGGTTTGCAGCCTGGCAAGGTCAGAGACTCCCTCGCTGCCATCACTGGCCCCAGCGCGGCACAGGCCTCACTGCTTGCAGGACTTGGCACGACCAGTGCATGCACAGAGGCTGGATTTCTGCAGTGGGTTTTTTAGCTCAGTGATGTAGAGGGGCCTGTCCACCCCCTCGGGTTGTGTGGGGAGGGAAATAAGAATGCCCACACCTGGCCTTGAAGCCATTAGTGAGAGGGGAAAACACAGGAACCCCTGCTGGAAACAAACATGCTGACCCATCCTGAACATGGACTACCATCCCCCTCACCTCTCCCCAGAGGGGCAGCAGTACCTCAGTCCTTTCACTGTAACTGAGAAGGAGTCTCTACCTGGAACAGATCTTCAGCCAATAAAGCACAAAGCTGGAGCCCACCAAAGGGAGTAGAGGGGGCACGGGGAGCGACCCAGCAGGGAGGACAGGAACCAGGTCTTCCAAAGCAACCCAAGGGCAATGCCTTGGCCAGATGTGCCAGAGGACAGTGGAAAGGACATTTAAACTTTGACAGCCAGCCTGAGTGAACAGGCAGCACAACAGTAGATGAAATGCACTGCTAACAAAATGCCTCGTATTGCCCACTGAATAGAGGTCTGAGCACCACTGAGACCAGCTGCAGAGAAAGCTCTGCTTAGCGAGCACAACAGTCAGAACATTGGGATGGCTATGGAACAGGCTAGAGACTAAGGCAGCTACCATCCTCAGCAATGGGGGGCAGAACCGTTCCAAAATCTCAGCTTTTGTTTAAAAAGGCAAACAGGAGAATTTGGTCCTAAGTTCAGCAGTGGCACCCTCCACCCCCAGCAAAAGGGAGTTGTGGGGAAGGGTGGGGGTGCGGCAGACAGGGCCGGGCGAGATGGGGTGCGATGGAACTGAGCTAGAAGCTTGGAGCTCACACAAGGGATGGAAGTTAGAGGAGGCCCCCTGTTGCTCTAACTTCCAGTGGGGCCTCACACTCAGGATGAGGGAGCCACACCCAGCTCCCTGTGGCCACCACCATCCAGTGTGCTCAGAATCACGGCCCAAGTTTACAGGCCTCTTGGTTACACAGAACCTTCCTAATGTGACCTGAATGCACCTGATGCAGTGACATCTGCCCTAGTCTGCAGACAGCCTGAAACAATAGCTCCGGGGGGTGAACTACATAATTCATCTCAATTGGCTGTTAATTCTGAAATTTAACGGTGACAACTTAAAATGTGACTTCACTATTTCACTAATATTCATCTGTAAGGCGTTTATCCCACAGCGTCAAACAACCCCAGGTGCCCAAAGCTCCAGCTGCCCCCTACTCAACTGCCAAAACCTCCAGCTTCCTCCATGGCTTTGAGGATGCAGTTATGCAATGCCAGTACCAAAACCCGAGCACCTCACGCACTGAAAACATGGGGACAGCATACAATAGACTGAACTGAGTATCAGAACAAACAACCCAGTGCTACTAAATCAGCTGTGACTGTCCCAGCTGCAGTTCACTGAAAAGCTCCACTGGTAACCAGAATGAAGCTGCTGCATCAGATCCCCAGGGACCGTGGTGAAGAATTTAGGCCCAGCTTGCCAGGGAATATATGGGACCTTGGCCATAGGAATCCACTGGCTACGCCATCTATGTAAGGGGAAGCCCTGAAATGTGATTTGGGGCTCAGCTACACCCTTTGGGCTGTTTCCATGAAAAAGAAAGTTCCTGTCTCTGGGGAAACCTGTCATGGTTTAGAGCAGTGGCTCAACCAGGGGTACACAGAGGTCTTCCGGGGGTACATCAACCCATCTAGGTGTTTGCCTAGTTTTACAACAGGTTACATAAACAGCACTAGTGAAGTCAGTACACACTAAAATTTCATACAATGACTTGTTTCTACTGCTCTATACACTATGCACTGAAATGTAAGTACAATATTTATATTCCAGTTGATTTATTTTATAATGATATGGTAAAAATGAGAACGTCAGCATTATTCAGTACTAGCGTGGCTGTGACACTTTGTATTTCTAGGTCTGATTTTGTAAGCAAGTAGTTTTTAAGTGAGATGTAACTTGGGGGTGTGCAAGACAAATCAGCCTCCGGAAAGGGGGACAGTAGTCTGGAAAGGTCGAGAGCCACTGGTCTAGAGGACCCTGGAGGACCTTGCTGGATGTGTCCAGCGGGCTTGGAGAAAGCATGACTTACCAGCATTCCTCCTTTCTCTGCACCCAAACTCTTACCCCGTCTGGCAGGTCTGTGCCCCGTACACACCACAGTGACCCTAGTTTCTCCCATGACACACTGAGTCTCACAAATGCAGTTAGGCAGAGCTTACAGGACAAGGGATGAACACCTCCCCGCCAGGCAACTAAGAGTCACCCCAAGGAAGCCAACCATGTATCTCCGCCAGCCCCACGTGCAAACAGGGCAGGGGACAGCACTCGACATCCAACAAACAGCTATTCCTCACCGAGTGCTTGCCGGAGATCTTCACACAGGCTGATGTGCGGGAACTGCAGCATCTGGCGCCATTTCTTACTCTTGCCCTTCCTGTTCCCTCCGCCGCCTGCAGGGGCACAGAACAGACATCACAATGAGGCAGCCACAAACGAGACCCAGCTAGAGTGTCTGACCTGGCCGCAGAGAGAGCTGGGAAGGAGACACCCCCCCGCTGAGCCACACCCAGCCAGCAGGAATCAGGGAACGGACTGCCTGGACCTGAGCCCCATGCTGTGGATCTAGACAGCAGTGGTGCCTTTCTCCCTGCATGACAGGACCCCGCCTTGCTGCTAAAGGAAAGATAAATCACTGCAGCTCGTTAGAGAAGAGCAGGAAGTCACTGAATCAACAATAATGAGCTCTTCTATCCAAGCATTTCAAGGAAGTTATCTGCTATTACAGATGGGGAAACTAAGGCATAGACTGGAGAAGGCCTAAGAGCACCTGTATCAGCTGAAGGTCTAGCTCCCAAGCCTGTCTTCAGATCCCATCTCTGAAAGTAAGCTGAAGGGTAACATTTACCCAGTGCTGCAAAGGTATGAAGTCCCCAGCTGCAGAATTTCCTGCCTAGCACAAGCAGAGATGTTCATGCTGCCTAGTCTTCCAAGGCTAAATAGATTCACTACAGGGAGGCAACATGCTATCGAAAAATGCACATGGGACCGGAAGACAAGAATTTCTGCTCTAATCCCAGCCCTGCAGCCAACTCACTGGGTAGCCTTGGGCAAGTCGCTTCAGCCTCCCCGCCTACAAATGGAACGAACTCCTCCCTCCCTCCCAGGTAGGGAGCGAGAGTTAGTTCATGTCTGGAAAGCAGGATCCAAGTGCCAGGTATCATTACGGCATCAATACTGTGAAAAGCAGATTGGTCTCTTAGGGTTAACTGCCCAGCGCCATGGGACAGGATTGGGAAGCTCTCTAAATACTCGGTAAATGGCAAGTATTAAAGTGCTGCAGGGTATGACATCCACTCTGGAACTAGCCCACAGCACACCTGTCTCTCCTCCAGGCCAGCCAAGGTGCACTTGAGCTGTGTTCAACCCCTCAGCCACACCCAGCTGATTCAGGCACAGAAATGGGACTCTTCAAAAGAAAAAAAAAGGGGGGAAGATGTTTCTTTCTGATTGATCGATCAGCTAGTGGAAAAGCAGCTGGCGGCAGCACACCAACAACTGCTGAACACATGAGCCAACCCCTAGTGTTGATCCTGGCCAGTTTGCACATCCCCCGTCAGCCAGATTTCCTGCAGCCACCACTGGGGGGCCTATAAGAGACCATCTGGACAGGGACAGGATGGGGGCACTTACTAAATACACAGACAAAAGCCTTGGCAGAGGGGTGGGGGGAGGGATTGTACCCAGCAGAAAATCCCCAGGTACAGCGCAGGACCAAGTGCCTCCAGCTCTGGCCAGCCAGTGGTATTGCTGCCTTCAACAAGAGCTGTTTAAACCAGCAAAGAGCTTCCCCCAGGCTCACTTCACACAGTCCAACAAACGCACAACACTGAAAGCTTCAGAGAGGCAAACATCCGGAGGAGACACTGCTGCCTCCGGTACTAGGCACGAGCCACCAGCTCAACACACTACTTGGGCTCTGGATAGAGCGAAACTCCAGCCCAGAGTGTCTCATGCAGCCACGCAGGCTACAGCAGGCTGGAGCCCAAGGAGCTGAGCACCTGGTGCACATGCCAGAGTTTGCTGCATGTTCTGTAGGCAGCAGCATTGCATCTGCCCAACATCAGCAGCTCCGCTGTGCAATCTACAAACCCAGGAAGGAAGTGACTCAATGCCCCGGGCAAGTGGGGGGGGGAGAAGGAGCCAGCAGCACAGACACCTTCTTCTCAGCTACAGCCTGCAGTGACAGAATGTGAAGGACAAATCAGTGATAAGGACGAAGGCAGGGAGGGGGGTGTGGGCCACACAGCCAGGGAGAGCCCAACTGCCATGCAGAGGGTTTGATGAAGGGCAGACCCAGAGCCCCACTTCATGCTGGGGGAGGCAGGAGGAGAAGAGAAGAGCTGCAGAACTCAGGTTTCCTTTGACTTGTTTGTTTAGAAAAGGAACCGTGGCATTCACCCCCCAAGCTCTCCCCTCGGTTACAGCAAGCACCTGGGTGCCCAGCTGAGCTCTAGCTGCCCTCCCTGCACAACTGCCTCACAGCAGCCAGCAGTGGGGGCACTTCAGCTAACAGCCCCTGCCTTGAGGGGGAAGGAGCCAGGGGAAGCCCATTCTCCAGGAGGAGCTCTTCCCCACCCAAAGCCTGAAGGAGCTGGGCTCCAGGGCACGCTGCCAAGCTGGCCTATTTTCAGAGGCATCGGGGCAAGAGTGGGTGAGTGATGGGGAGTTAATTTGGGGGAGGGGTTGATATTGTAGGGAACAGCTTTACATTCAGTGGGCTAGATCCTCAGCCCCTCTTGGCTGCTGGCAACGGAAACTTGCAGTGCTCTTCAGGCAGCAGCTGGGGATTCCCTGGAGCGCACTGTTCCATAGGGGTAGGGCAGCGCCACCCCACCCCATCTGCATCAGTGTAAGTGGTGTTCCAGGGAGGGCTGGACTGGCGAGCAATCCTGGCCAGCAAAGCGGTTCTGTCCACCAGCACAGGCTGCTCTCACTCGCAAGGGGGACTTTGCAATTTGACCCCCAGGATAGGGGGATGCAGAAAGGTGGTAGAGCCCCCTACTGCTCCGGCACATCCAAGCAGCTAGCCCAGCATCTTCCATTCTCTAATCACATATATTGCAAACTCTGGATTGGTGCTTTCCATGGTTCTAATAAAAGACTGTACAGGACATTAACTCTGAGGGTGTGCTTAACTGCACCCAGACGCTCATGGAAAGTGACCGTTAATAGCAGAGCAGAAAGGCCGGCTGAGCTCCTTGCTGGACAGTTGCCCAGAACTGAGGCTGTGAGTGCCCCATGTGAGAGTAACTGACTCCAGTCTCTGGAAGACAGCCGTTTAGGGCAGGGTTCCTTTCACGTCTCCTGCGTCGGGGAGCAAGATAATTGCTGCCACCTAGTTTCTCTGGAGCAGTGGTGGGCAACCTGCGGCCCATCAGGGTAATGCGCTGGCGGGCCATGAAACTCTGTTTACATTGGCCGCCCGCAGCGGTTCGCCGTTCCCGGCCAATGGGAGCTGCGGGCGGCCAATGTAAACAGTGTCTCTCAGCCCACCAGTGCATTACCCTGACAGGCACGGGGTGCCCAGCCCTGCTCTGGAGGCTTTGATAGCATCTCCCTTCAGACACTGGACCCTTCCATATCGAAGTCTGACACTGAAGGGATTTCAGTTCCCCACCTCATCGGCACATAGCTCTGGGATTACCTGCCCTGAGTCTTCTACCTTGCCTGGGGTTTCTACCCCAAACCTGATTTTCAAGTAGCTTGAGAAGTTTCTCTGCCCATGTCCCTATTCAGCTTTTGTTTTTCCCCAAAAACCCTCATCTTCAAAACCTTTTCATAGACTTTAAATCCAGCAGGGGCCACTCTCTGTTCACTTATCTGACCTCCTACATAACAGAGGCCAGAGACTTTCACCCCCATTCCTGCAGTGAAGGGAATTCTTCTTCTTCACTCGATAAGTGACACTACTGAGTCCAGTAGTGTGTGGTTGAACTGGATCTCTTTTAGAAAGACAAGCAGCCTTGATTCAATGGCTTCACGTGATAAATTCACCACTTCCAGTGGTGAGCTGTTCCATTGGCTAATCACCCTCACAGTCAACTTGCACCTCTAGCGAACTCCATGTTTCACACAATTCTGTTGCTACTAGCCTGTCACCCAACCCAGAAGTCCTGGAATTCAGCCTCAGCACCTGGCAGAGCCTGCTCCATTTTCCAGAGGGCTGAGGCCCATGGTCACTATAGGAATCAGCAAAGGAGTGGGACCTGCACCTATAAAGTTTTGGGGTCAGCCCTGGGGTGGGGAGAGCCACTACAGAGGCAGTTGGATTGTCAGGCTGAATTCTACCATTTTGCCCAAGAGACTGCAGTCAGGCTTTGCTCCTTTGCCTTTACGACAGAGGCAGCCTCTGGGACAGGCTCTGGAACCACTGAGATCCAGAGTGTGGTGTGTAAATGGCTTTGCTGACAGAGGAACGGCTGCGCAGAGATGCAGAAACCCTAAAGGGGCTTGTGTTCCTGGTGCAACATGAGCAGTAATGAACAGTGGCAAGTAGACAGGTGTGCCAGTCTCACAGCCACTTGAGTGCAGGACTGGACACCAAGTTCTGGGGCTTCATTTAGGGACAAGTTTATCCCACCAGCCCTGCAGAGTTCACCAGCCTCCTAATCAGTAAAGTCCACAATCCTCGGGGTTCAGAATGACATACAAGAAGTCTAGAACTCAAATTCCAGGGTCCAGGCTGATCTTTGGCAACAAAGGCATCACCAGGCCAGATCACATCTGCAGTCCATCTAGTCCAGTATCCTGCCTCCGACAGGCCAACACCAGACGCCTCAGGGAAGTTAAAAGAAACCCAGCAGTAGCAGATGTGAGGTAAACTACCTACCATGTAGGTCTCATCCTAGTCCCTAACAGGTTTAACCCTCAAAGCCATGAGTTTTTAATCCCTTCCAAACTCTGGTTGCATTAACTGTTATAACTGCATACTCTTGTAATCCATATACATGGCTCTTGCTTTTCTCTGCATCAACAGATACGATGCCCTGTCTGCACCTCTCCTTCGGTAACCATGTCAGGGCAGCAATCCAGAATCAGAGCATCCAGCAGCATAAGATATTCAGACTCTCTAGTATCTCAGACTGTGATGAAGAAACCAAAAGCCAGCTGGCCTCCAGGACTGAAAATACATCAGAGGAAATCTAATAATGCCCAGCCCGCAGCAAACCCTGAGTGAGTAATTCTGCCCCTATAGCGCAGCTAGTGGATGAAGAGAGAGTTTCCGTAGTTACCACAGAACCAGGTAACTGGTTCCATCCTAAATCTGGATCCATACTAAATAAGGATAAGGCCAACAAGGTTGAGGGTGACTGCCCAGCACCAAAATTTCACTGTGCAGCTGGTTTGTGCATCCATAAAGATACAAGTGGTGAAGGGCAA